GCCCAATAATGCATAATTTCATTTGATAAACACGTTTAGATTGAATGGTAATTTATAATCAGTCACAAGAACGTCGAATCTGAATCACTTGAAAAAAACACAGGGGTGCTTAACTTTTTTCCAGGTGTATATTAATTACTAACAATAGCACTTTTTAAACTTTAAACACAAAATGGTCCCTGAAGCTAATAATTATCATGTTTACTTGTTACAACAAATGCATAAACATACACATACTCACCTCCACCTACAAACACACATGCACCAATAACCACCAGCCTCTGCAACCTTAACCACATTATTTTAAAAACTGATTTAACAAAATTAGCCTGTTCTGTGAAAATCTACTTAAAAACATCTAGGAATAGTGTGTATGTGTGTCAACAGATAGACCACTCAGTCAAAAACGAATTTTCACTAGCTAATTAAATGCCAGTCTATGGCAAATTCCTACATTGTTTAAGGAAATATTCCTAGAAAATGCAGAAACTGATCTAGCAATATACCATACCTAAGGTGGAACGTGATAAAAAATTTGGTACGTAGGAGCTTACCTTGCATATTACAATACTCTTTAACTTTCAGATATCATTTTTACACTAAAATCATAATGCTTAGAACCTTCTCATTTATATTTAAGGTGTTTCAGCACAGTTTGGTATTTCATCTCATGGCACTTCTGTATGAGACCAGATGATCACTCAGGCCAGAATTTTATCAGCCTACTAAAGACATTCTTTGGTCAAACTTAGCACTATAAATACACTTGCTTTTGTTATTGTATCTAACAAACTTGAAAGAAAAGCATGCAATACATAAAGTGATTATCTAACTACTCTAAAACATCCTGATAAACAGAAATCATGATGAGAGGGAAAAAGCTTATGCTTTAATTTTAGCCTACTTGGACACTGGAGGAGAAATTATTTATATTCTGTCATGGAAGAGAAAGGAGGTTTATTTCTATCCAACTGATAGGCAAGAGCAGGAGAGGAGCGAGAGCTACTGGTATGTTACCAATGCTGAGATAGGCCAGATGTTAAAAAATAGAATAATATTAGTTTGTTAGTATTATGACACAAGGCAGCTAAGGCTACTTACACCAAGCAAAACAAATGCAAGTAAATTTGTAATAACAGCAAAAGTAAAGAATATAATTAACTGATAAAAAAACAAGTGGTAATGGTACAGGAATGATAAAAATCAAATTATATTATATTATAAAGGCCATTGGCCTTAAATAATTTATGGAAAAGTAAAAACAGTATCAAGCTGGATAGCATCATCCTTTCCAATAACACTATCCAATGTAAAAAGGTACACAAAGAATAATAAAACGTTTAAAACCTCACACAGGGTTCCCACACTTTCAGCAGAAAAAATTCAAGCATAAATCCAAAATTTTTCTAGAATAATTTCAAGAATTATTTCATGGTGTGTCTTAGAATTTCCAGTGTAAAGATGACAATCAATAACCATAACACTGTACTTAAGCTTAACATTTTTATTATCAAGCAGAAATCTTGGAATACAGCATTACAAGTACTTGTCGTGGTTGTATATAAAAACCACCAAAACTTATCAAAATCAATATGTTTCCCATATCCACCTTGCATGAATACCAATATCCCTAATCAATAATGTCAATGACTTGTTTACATATAGTTACTAGTTGCAAAATATTTGCCATCATTACACTATTTTTTAAATAAAAATATAATATTTCAACTAATGATGTTCCAATCCTCCCATCTGATAAAAGCCCTGGTGAAGATAGTCAAATGCTAATTTTAATGCATACTTATCAACAGACAATCTCAGGAAAGGAAAGGAATATATATACATTTAACATTTTTAAACTTTTTATAACCAAATTATTTGCCAAAAGAAATATTTGAATTGTATAACTATTTACCTTCTTGCCAATTCAAGCACAAGTTATGAACCATTTTGTGACCATAATCCCATGATTTGTCAGTTTACTTTGACATGTTGTTACCAGGCGATAATTTTTAGCATCAACAACAATATAAGCTTTAATTATAAACATTATGAATTACCCTATCTATACAGGCTTGGTTATTTTGAACAACCATGCAATCACCAGGTAACAATTAAACTATCCAAACTATACCTTTTAGTGTGGTAAGTATATCTTCACAAAATTTGACAAACTTCTAGTAAACATTAAAAGTCTTTTGTAAATAAAAAGTGATTTTTTAAACAAGTACTGTCAATAAAGATTTGTATGCAAGTTTTTTTTATGGAGTCAAGAGTTTAAACCAGATTCTGACTAGTTTGAGTGCAAGGTGATTTTCATCTTAACTCTATCGTGACAGGCATCCTTTACTGTGCATGTTAAAAGGTTTTAGTGACTTACATTCAAGTTTTATTAATCTACTTTTTGTTTATCTTGTACAAATTTATATAGCATAAAATCTTAGCTAATAAATCATATTTTAATAGTATATAAGTTTTAAGTTCTTAATTTTATATGGCAATATCAAAAAAAAATTTAAATTTCCCCTAGTGTGACACATTTTCTCTATGCATCTTCTCTATGTTATCCATCACCCATCCAATAAGCATAAAATTAAATGCAAATTACTCACTATAAAAATGTCATTGCTCAGACAAACCATAATTTTATAGACCTTCAATTTTGTTTCTTTACAGAGCTATCAAATAGAAAATCAGACTCCTCTTGCCACACCCAACTATCACATCCTCTCTTTCAGGATTTGTTAAAAGTTCTCTCTCTTATGTTTAGTTCTATATTGTCTATAACTAATAGAAAGCCAAGGTTTTCATCTATCAAATGGCGTATTGTATAACATTGTTTTCTGAATAGAGAATTGCCAATTTCACCCTTAGCACAAACTTTATTCTCATGGGAAAGATAATGAGTAGTTTGGATGAATTTGTAATGGATTTTGTTGCATAGTTAGAAAGCCAGAAAAATTGTGAGTTAGGGGAAATTGTCTACATTTTTCACTTATTAGACTATGCTCTTTGGTACACTATTTGATTAAATAAACTTATTTAGAGCATTACTACCATTAGTATAAAAAGTAGTGTTAAGTATCATTGACAGTCGACAGCAAAAAACAAAAAAAAGAAGGTCCAGGTAATTAATTTATTTCTTGTTTCTCATATTTATTCTTATAAAAGTAACTAAAATGTAAAAATAGGGATCTCTTTAGGTTAGTTAAAGTAAAATAAATAATAATAATATAATAAAAATGTTTTACAAGGCTCACATGTGAGCAGCTCGTGGGTAACGTAATTCGATAGCATAATGTTACCTCCACGTTCC